CTGGCAAAAAAAGTGTACTGCGACTGCTTACTTGGCGTAATGGACGAGCCACCCCTGATTAGCACAAACCTTTGCAACCTCAGCAAGGTTAGGGGATGTCGCTCCGAGATGGAAAGAGAATCCATGCTTCGTGTATTGAGCAGGCAAAAGACCTGCTCCAGTGCCCCATCTACACTGCTACATGAAGCAGTTTAGAAATTGCATTATATGGTCAGAGGAAAAGAGAAATAATAATAATAATAATCTATATAAATAAAAATGTAATGTTCGTTTGTGGGATTAACAAAACTCAAAAACCACTGGACAAACTGACACCAAATTTGGACACAAGACACCTAACAACCCAATGTATGTCCTTCACTAAAAAAATTGATTTTGTCATTTGGGAGTTGTAGTTGCTGGGATTTATAGTTCCCCTACAATCAAGTAGCATTCTGAACTCCACCAATGATGGAATTAAACCAAACGTGGCACACAGTCCTCCCATGACCAACAGAAAATACTGGAAGGGTTTGGTGGGCAGTGTCCTTTGGTTTTGGAGTTGTAGTTCACCTACATCCAGAGAGCACTGTGGACTCAAACCATGATGGATCTGGACCAAACTCTACAGAAATACTCAATATGCCCAAATGTGAACACTGGTAGAGTTTGGGGAAAATAGAATCTTGACATTTGGGAGTTGTAGTTGCTGGGATTTATAGTTCCCCTACAATCAAAGAGCATTCTGAACTCCACCAATGATGGAATTGAACCAAACTTGGCACACAGTTCTCCCATGGCCAACAGAAAATACTGGAAGGGTTTGTTGGGCAGTATCCTTTGGTTTTGGAGTTGTAGTTCACCTACATCCAGAGATCACTGTGGATTCAAACAATGATGGATCTGGACCAAACTCTACACAAATACTCAATATGCTCAAATGTGAATACTGGTAGAGTTTGGGGAAAATAGAATCTTGACATTTGGGAGTTGTAGTTGCTGGGATTTATAGTTCACCTACAATCACAGAGCATTCTGAACCCCACCAATGATAGAATTGGGCCAAACTTCTCACACAGAACCCCCATGTGGGCCACAGCAATGCGTGGCAGGGGACGGCTAGTAATAATAATAATGATGATGCCATCATAGCCAGAATTCAAAAGTCGATGACAGATCCCAAATGTAGACTCTGCAAGGAAGTGGGTGAAACAATAGATGACATCCTCAGCTGCTGCAAGAAGATCACGCAGACAGACTACAAGCAGAGGCACAACACTGTTGCTCAGATGATTCATTGGAACTTGTGCCACAAAAATCTGCCTGTGACAAAGGATGGGGGGATTGTAAGCATGAGACAGTTACAGAAAATGAACACGTCAAACTACTGTGGGACTTCCGAATTCAGACAGACAAGAGTTTTGGAGTTTTGGAGCACAGTACTTCTGACCTCACGATGGTGTTAAAAAACACAGTGTGGATCATTGATGTCACAATCCCAGGTG